AACACCATGGTTATAACTTATAAAAAAAGTTGTTTTGAGCTTCTTTGTAGCCCTAAAATGAAGAGGATCCTTGGAGCAATGGCGAAGTATCTCTGTGGGACCTACAAGTCATGGGTTTGGGCCGTGGAATCAGCCATTGATGCTTGCATCAAGGTAGGCTACCTACATTACACACCCTTGGGGTGTGGCCCGTCCCTGGACGCTGCGCAACTGTGGGATGATTCTCGCACTTGTAGCCCTAAATTTTACAATCACCTCTTTATAGTCACGAGTTTTGATTAAACTCTCTCTACTACTGTTTGTTAATACTCTTGGTGTGTATTTTGGCACCGGGAAGATCAAACATGGGGTACGATACTTTTTTGGGTAGCTGAAGTGATAATGTTTTCTTTCATTAATATTGATGTCTGGGGTTCCAATTAAAGAATTTGATTACTCAAGGCCAAGATAATATTTATTAAAAGCTTGTGACTTGGTTAAGCACCTTGCTTCCCCCCTCAGCCAAGTGTAAAAGAATTTTAGAAAGGGAAGTGTGCTTCGTATTAACCTATGCCAAGTGACATATATTTGGAAAATCAATGCATGATCTGGTGAAAAATGACTGTTTGACCTACTTTAGTTATTGAATGGCTGTAAGGTGCCTATCCAGGAATATGTAAGAACAATGATGAAATGGAAAATCTCTTAAGTATGTGTTGCACTTGCAGAGTATCTTTTTGAATTTCTGGCACTTCTACATATCCCATGACTCATCTAGGAAAACTTTTTTGATGAAGACGAATCATCAAAAAACAAAGGATCTGTTAGGATAGCCTCTTGTAGTTTTTCTTTTCATTCTCTATCTCTGGCTTGCTCTTTCCTTTTTGGCACTTACCTAAATAGTTGATTATGAATCTCTGAAGATTTATGTGGTGAAGACCTGGATGCATGCATATTTTTTTCCACAATGTTAACTAGTTTGTTCCTTATGGAGATTCCCCCACAGTGTTTTATACAATATTGGCCCTAAACTTCCATTTTTAATTTTCCTGGTCCTTATTTTGATAAGTTAAACAGATATCAAATCCAAGCTTCTGCAAGTTGACAAGTTGCTGATCCCTCGAAATGTACATCTTATATCAACAGTACTAATTGATTATGGTAAAAATGGAGAAACTTTGGAGGTGCAAGTAGACAAATTGCTTATCCCCTTGAAATATGCATATTGTTCAACTATACCAATTGATCCCTTGTGTCTTTGTTTGTTTGTTCTTCTTTTGTGGATATCTTGGCCTCCAAATCTAGTAGACTCTGTACTCTCCTTATGACATTTCTTTACTAATGGGGAAAAAGATACTTGCTGACTAGCTGTTCAGAACCTTAGAATCTATAACATGATTTCTGTGAGTAAACTCATAATTCTGTTCAAATTAGTTGTTGCATCCCGATTCACTGCATTTCTGATGTCAGACTCTGAATTTGTTGTTGAATTTATGAAGGCTACATATCAACTCTGAGGAACAATGTGCGGTCACGTGCGTGGGGAGCTGCAGTTGGCTGCAGCTATCGTATTGAGCGGTGCTCTGTTGTGAAGGTGTGGATTACCATTCTTCATTCCTTCCCTTCTGTTCTTTCTGGTATAGCAAAAAAAAGTTCATTTTTTTATAAGGTAAATAATTTTATCAATAATTGGAAGAGCACTTCTTTCGGAAATAACCTCTCTACCTGACAAGGTAGGGTAAGGTCTACGTACCCTCTATCCTCCTAGACCCCACTTGTGGGAAAATACTGGGTATGTTGTTATTGTAATGGGGAGATCTCCTGTTTACAAGTGATATGCCAAAAAGTAGAGAATCTTTATCAAAATATGATTCTGACGAGCAGCTCCTAATTTTCTATACAAATTGTAACCTCATGGGTGCACCAACAGTAAACTACGAATCACACTATTCGTCAAATGTAGATATTCGTTCATCCCCTCGAAAGCTCTTCTATTTCTTTTTTTCCACTGAACCCACAAGGAGTTCTTGTGGGGCAACATCCAGGCTCTTCTTCGAATTCTCTTTCTAAATTTCTAGCGGAGAGTCTCTTTCACTGTACCTACTTTGTTTTGCCAAAATTTTAGTTGTGGATGGACTTGCATTTACCAGCTATTCTTGCCTAGATACACACTTATTTACTTTTGATTTATATATGCGAGTAATTTCTTTGTATAACTATTGAATGTGCAGTTATCTCTATGTGGAACTTTGTACCACTTCCTATATAACCTTTTTGATTATTTGTCTCATCCTTCAGAAAGGAGGTGGAACGATCGATCTTGAACCTTGTCTAACACATTCCTCAACCTTGGAGCCTACTCTTGCTCCGGTGGCGGTAGAGCGCACTATGACCACTCGAGCTGCAGCTTCGGTATTGTTTCACTTAAGTAGATGTTCATTCTGCTTTCTAAATTTGTTAGTGTTATATGACAAAAATCATTTGCTCACTTTCCTTCTCTGGTAGCCTAAAATTGTTTGTCATTCTGCTGTTTTTTCTCTATAAATAGCATAATCAGCTGAAAACCATCTAGGCGGAGACTATTGCTGGCTGTTTCTCTTTTCCATTTCTGTAGGCTACTGCTAAACCCTTTTTTACTCTAAAGCTGTCAAACTAACATCTAATGGATGTAATCCTATCCATTTAAACAGTTCGATAGAAAAGGAGAGGATTTTGGTTTATTTGTGGGAACATGATTTGGCCTCAACTGTATTATCAAAAAAATGATTTTGCCTCAACTATCTTTAAATTTTAAAATAATTACATAAATTTAAATTCTGAAACTTGGAACTTTCTGCATCTATACCTTTTTGGAGTGATCCAATTCCTTCTATATGATTCATCATATAAACAGCCCAAGTACATCACAGTTGGATTCGAGATAATACCCAGTCTTTATACTTCATGTTATCATCTTATCTACATTTTCTGTGAGATGTATTATGCTGCGACTATTTAGGATTAAGGGAATGACCTCGCACAGTTCTGCATGTCGAAGATTAGGCTTCTCACTAGCCTGCATGGGCCTAGGGACTTGTCATGGAAAACTCAATATGACACGATGTAAAAAATTACTTCCTCCGGATTTTGAGCTTTCCGCTAGATCCAATGGTAATGAAAGCTGCAAATAACTAACTCAAAATAGATCTGACACTCCATTTTAGGTTAATCAATGTGATCTGATGATCCTCTTTTTGTTATGCATCTTTGCTTAAGGTACTGAAAGAAGGAGATTTAAACTATGCCTTCTCTTTTAATCTTTGTTGTAGTGTATTGTCGTTTGCTATTTTTACTTTAACTCAGCCCCTCAACTTTTCTGTTGGTTACTCTCTTTGTAGAATGCACTACGACAACAGAGGTTTGTACGTGAAGTGACAATTCAGTTCAACTTATGCAATGAGCCTTGGTATGTACTGATTTTCTGGATCAGCTTGCTCTTCAAATAGGTGTTTTTTTCCATTCCTTAGATACATAACTTTCCAGTTATGCATAGACTCTTGATATGTTGTTGTTGTTGTTATGCATAGACCCTTGATGTGGTATAGTACTCCGTCTTTTTTTCTTCTCATTCTGATTTTTCTGTTGGGTTTTGTTCATAACAAAAGAAGTAATTTTAATACTTTTGGTAAATAATTTACGGGGAGCAACCAGTTTTGTTTTCGCACTTTCTAGTAATTTATCTGAAGATATTTTTCAAACTTATTGGAAAGGAGAACCAGGTAAATTTTCTGTCAAATCATCTTTTCTCTTAAATAATGTGTGTTACTCAATAGTTACAAAATTGTTGCTATCCTATGCAAGGGTTGAGGGCAGATGCTAGTGTCTATAAAGATAAATTTCTAATAAATCCTCCTCAAGACTTCCCTTCAATTTACTTCAATGAAGTTTCAATGGATCTGTGAAGGCTTCTCTGCATTACTTATCCTTTTGTCCTAATTTCCGTACTAGTTAAAAATATTGAGCATATGACTAGAAGTATAACTTCGAAGCAGTAAGATTCATTCTTTGGAGGACCCTTTATTTTCCTTAATCTCGATCGTAGGGTGCTTGGGACTTTAAGGACATTTCCCTGGTAGATATGGTCTTTGTAATCTTGCGTTGAGCTTTTCCCCATCTGTTGATAAGCACTTAAAGTATGAGTTGGTATATCAAGGATGATTAATGCTATGTTTTACTTGTCATGCTCTATCCTCTGACTTGTGGTTTTGAGTCAGTAACAAAACCGGTGGTTTGATTGATATCCTTGAAAACAAAGCCCACTTTACTGGCTCATTTACCTTGAAAGGTTTTTTTTGATATTTTATCCTGATGAGCTGTAGCCTATGGTTTATCCAGGCTTCTATTTACTTACTGTTGCTCATCTCTTTCCCCAGGCTCAAATACAGTATTAGTGTTGTTGCTGACAAGGGTCTAAAAAAGGCCCTTTTTACATCTTCGCGCCTGAAAAAGGGAGAAGTTCTTTACTTGGAAACTCATTCTAAGAGGTAACCACTGGCTTCCATGGGTAAAAATGTAACTCCATACAGCTCTCTTAGTCTCTTATATTCCTTGCATGTTTCCTCTGATAAGAGCGAAAAGGAAAGAAAAATCATTGAGAAAGTGATTGATATGTGATCTTTGATAATTTTCTGTCCAATTTGTACCTTCTATTGTGATCCTCATTTTCCTTCACTTCCTGACACTTGTTAATTAACCTGAAGGTATGAGCTCTGTTTTAGTGGTGAAAAGATGGTTAAGGCTACAACTTCTCAGATGCTTGAAATGGATGTTGACAAACCTCAAACTTACAATTTACACATGGCAAACGGAGAAAAAAATGGAGTGAATGGTGAGAATACGATGGTAGATATGTTCCGACTGTCTCGTTGTAAGAAGCCCCTGCCTCAGAAACTAATGCAATCAGTTGGAATTCCTTTGCCCCTTGAACATGTTGAGGTATTCATCCTTGTTTCTGCCCCATTATATGTTGTCAATACGAACCTATATTGCTCGGACTCTTCAAAAATGTTGATAGATGCATGTCAAATCTTCTAAAAAGTAGTGCATTTTTGGAAGATTCTACACTAATATGGCAATATTTTTGGAGAGTCCGAGCAACATTTGTATAATAGCAACACCGTGCATGAAGAAAAAGTAACATGTGCTGTGAACCAAAGCTACTCCCCTTCTACTTCTACCTTGATTGTCTAACAATGTTATTATTAACTTTTTGAAGGTTTTGGAGGAGAATCTTGAGTGGGAAAACATTCAATGGTCACAAACTGGTGTTTGGATTGCTGGAAAAGAATATCCTCTTACTAGAGCACATTTTCTTTCCCCAAATTAGGCAATGCTTTGTAATAGGTTTTAGATACAGTTTATCTATAAGACAAAGATGTACTGTGGGATTGATACTGATTAGAATGATAAATTGTGGAACTCATGAACAATGTTTTCTGAACATTGTGCATATGTTGATTTCTTCTTCTAGTTTCTCTCTTGTTTTTCCTTTTCCTTATTGATGATTTCCAAGTTTTACCTTTTCGGTTAGCTGCATAGGTGTCACAAAATAGAAATTCAAGAATTTAGACATTTTCCGTGTGTATTAGTTCATTAATTTTTTGAAAATTAGTCTACCCAAAAGTTTTCAAAAAAATTGCCCAGAAGCTATTTCACCAAATATTCATGGGCTAATACACACAAAAAATTGAAGAATTCCTATAAAAAGGCTCCCAAATGCCCAAAAATGCCTCGAATCATGGTGAGGTTATATATACAACTTTGCCAACTCCTTACGGAGGGTTTGGTAAAAAATTTTCAAAAAAATTGTCCGGAATTCATTTCACCAAATATTCATGAGCTAATATACACAAAAAATTGAAAAAAATCGTCTAATTCCTATAAAATGACTCCTAAATGCCCAATAATGCTGCGGATCTCTATACGTACTGCTCCCCCAATTCCTTATAGAGGGTCTTGTAAAGTTTTTTCAAAAAAATGCCCGGAAGTCATTTCACCAAATATTCATGGGTTAACACACAAAAAAAAGTGAAACAATCGCCTAATTCCAATAAAATGACTCCTAAATGCCCAAAAATGTTGTGGATCATGGTGAGACTATACGCCCCAACACCTTACGGAACGTCTTGTAATGTTTTTCAAAAAAAGTCGTCAGGAAGCCATTTCACCAAATATTCATGCACTAACATACACCAAAAAATTGAAAAATTCGCCAAATTACTATAAAATGTCTGCTATATGCCAAAAAATGTCGTGGATCATAATGAGGCTGTAGGTACTGATCCCCCAACTCCTAACAGAGTCTCGTAAAGCTTTTTTCAAAAAAAATCTACCGAGAGTCATTTTACTAAATATTCATGGGCTAACACACGGAAAATTGAAAAAATCGCCTAATTCCTATAAAATGACACCTAAATGTCCAAAAATGTTGCAAATTATAGTGAGGCTATACATATTGCTCCACCAACTCTTTACGGTGGGTCTCATAAAGTTTTTTTCAAAAATATTGTCCGAAAGACATTTCACCAAATATTCATGGGCTAACACACACGAAAAATTGAAATATCACATAATTCATATAAAATGGCTTCTAAATGTCCAAACATGTCGCAAATCATGGTGAAACTATATATATTGCTCCTCCAACCCCTTAGGAGGGTCTTGTAAATTTTTTCACAAAAATCATTTGGAAGCTATTTCACCAAATATTCTTGAGCTAACACACACGAAAAATAAAAAAAATCACCTAATTCTATAAAATGGCTCCTAAAAGTCCAAAAATGCCGCGGATCATGGTGAGGTTATATATATGTACCGACCTTTTCGTGTGTATTTATCTATTAATTATCTAGAACTAGAATACATGTGATCAACTCTGTTCAAAGTAAAACCTTCTGCTATCATCCAGGTTGACAATGATATAAGTTCTATTATCAGTAGATAACAACAGAATGCAGAAGAAAGCATCTCAAAATTTGGGCACAGAAAAAGGAAAAGAAGATGATTCTCAGGTTGAAGGATGAGTGTTATCTTGCTAGTATTACAAACTTACTATGACAAAGCAAAAACTGAATGCTTCTCACTATGGCAAACACCAAATCTACCTTTCCTCTTTGACAGTATATCCAGGAAAGTAGTCAGGTCCAAACCTCTATTCAAAATCTAGCATCTTACATATAAGGTTCTAAAATAGATCGCTCCCGGTAACTGCTGGCGAGAAGCAGCAGGTACCCGGTGGAACTAGTCTAGGTGTGCGGAAGCTATCCCGAACACCACCGTCATCAAAAAATAAAATTATATTGTGAATATGGGGTATAACTTTTCTCCACTCATCCCATGAACACATGAAAGTATTCACATCTTTTCTCCAAGAAGCATGAATCACCACTCATCCCATTTATTGATAAAGTCATTCCACATTGCTGCTGTAATGGAATCTCTCAATGCAGAGGCACTCTGTTCTTGTACCTGAAAAGCCAAGTGTGGATCAGGATTGTCATCTAAATCAGGCAACTCTTCTACATATCTTCCTTCAATGTCTTTAAACAACCAGTCACTCTTATCCTCACGCCGGATGTGATTGTGAATAACACATGCAGCTATAACAATGTCCCTCTGTGTATGAAAAGCATATTGAGGAGCAAGTTTGAGGATTGGAAATCTTGTTTTCAGCACATCAAAAGATTTCTGAATGGCATTTCTAAGTGATGCATGCCGGTGGTTAAATAACTCGTTCGCATTTCTAGGTAATAGATTAGCACCCCGATATTCAGGAAGATGATAACGAATTCCTGGAAATGGAGCAATAAATCCATTCATATTAACATAACCTGTATCAACGAGATAATATTTCCCTGCAACAGACAATTTGTTGATAAATATCAATATGAGTTGTTTGAGCATGTGTAGAAAAGAAAAATGAACTAAAGTAAAGACAAAACTATTATGTTTAAAAATTATGAACAACCTTCAGGAATTGGAGGGAAATTTTGATCAGGATCATCTAGAACTGCTCTCAGTACCCGTGAATCTGTAGCTGAGCCTTCCCAGCCAGGGTAGACAAATATAAATTGGAGATCCAATGTGCACGCTGCCAATACATTTTGGGTCAAATTACCCTTCCTATTACGAAAACGAGATTGATCCTTGGCTGGCACATGAGCAGGGATACGCATGCCATCAATCACACCAACGCAATCCTGTAATAAAATAGTCAGGTTAATAAGTCCAATCTACAATGAAATGAAATAAGTAAGAAAGGGATCAGAGGCTAACCTCAAAATACGGGTAGAATCTATTACTTTCAAGGATCTGGAGAGGAGTGCTGACTGGAGGAAGTTGAAGGAACTCGCGTGACAATGACTTAAGTGCCCTCAATACATTATTAAAATGCCTGCTTATTGTTTCACCAGAGTGCTGATAACGCTCTTGTATTACCCTGTTGCGTTCATTGTGGCCAACAATGTTCAAAAAGATTGCCAATTGCTCCTCTATCATAACACCAGCTGTGTCACGTAGCATGGCTCTTTCTCGAAGGATGTTACATAGCTTGTGAAAAACATGTTTATCCATCCTTAACATTTCCCGACACACATCATTGTCGGCACTGAGCAGTTCGCTCAAAAACCCAGACCCTTTAGGAGTTGAACCACGAGAAGGCTGCCTAGCTATACAATTATAATAGTGGTAACCAGCAGCAGCAGCAACTAATTCCAGTTCATCCAATTCTATGTCGACATCATCCATGCTTTGGTGTATCTATCTCCAAATGGATTTTAAAAAGAATTAAGAGAATGTCCTACATGATGTGAATTTGGTCAATTGATCATGAATAATCATCAAATCAACATTTTAAGCTGTCATGTACCTTGCGCAACAAATATGAAGTTAAGAACACTATATCGGAAAACCAAATGTGTGTTAAACAACCATCAATAATGAATTAAGACTAAATATGCAATCAACAATAATAACTATGCCTCAATCCCGAACAAGTTGGGGTCGGCTACATGATACCTCACTGACCATGTTTCTCTGTTTAATCTTAACTCATGTCATCATCATAATTCATACCAAACAAAAATAAATGTGAAAAATATGTTGTGTACATATAAATTGATTAGGTCAAAATGCTCCTAGAAAAGCAACAGGTTCAACATGAACGTACTAACAAGACTAAACCTATTCCCACCTAAAAGATATCACCTATACGAATCTTTATCTTCCATTGTGCCCTAATTTTAGCTAAGTCAGCACTGATTCTAAGAAATTGTTGGTCTTTGTAGACAATTTCTTTCCATGTGATTTTAGATCAACCCCATCCCCTTTTAGCACTTTTACTCATCATAGTTCCACACCTATGGACTAGTGCATATGTAGGTCGATGTAGAACGTGACCAAGCCATGTCAAGTTGGCAGCTCTCACTTATTCTCAATGTGTGCTACCTGCAGCTTTTGGTGAATGTGGTCATTTTTAATCTTATCCAAATATACAATCAAAATCCAAGAAAATCTTCTACATAAAAGCCATGAGCTTATAAAAAAGTATACATGCTCTTAAGTTGGTTGCACTTGACAAAATAGTTCTATTTGTAGAAAACTATATTTGTATACTCCTAGTTTTAAGGTATACACCTTGTATACAGACGCTATTTGCCCTTTTAGTTGATAAAATTTGATTACTTCATAAAAAATATATAGCTTCAGTCTCTTCCAGCATTTGACAGCAAAATAGAAGCACCATGAGGTACTTGTTTTCCTTGCAAAACCACCTTTGAATGAAAGTGAGCTCTCTGTGGATCCCTAACATATCTTTTTATGAACTCAAATATAGCACATAGGGAGAGCTTAACCAACACCTAAAGCTAACTGAATTCATTTACCGAAGAGAATGTGATACACTAACTAAAGTAGAGCCTTGTTAAACCAAAAATTAGAGTAGGGAGTATCAAAATTATATCTTTAATGGAAAAATTAGCACATACAACAGAAAAATAACAGAGCATTTCTAAAAGATATTAGCATTTAGGTATACGTCTCTATAGTTTTAGTTATTCTTCCCTTTGACATAGCTAAATCAAGAATCAAATGACGGTAAAGATAGAACCCACCCCACGAAGCTCTGAAGAACGTTAAAAGGTTTCCTCCAACTAAGAAGTCACACTGATAACAACATTGCACATGGTCTCATGCATCAGATAATATATACAAAAAGACAACATTCAAAGATAACTAAAACACACCACACAAATTATCAACAATCAATGTTCATAGTTATTTTTCGCAGAAAAAAGGAAAAAAACAGACAGTCCCTCATTTTCATAATAATGTTGTTTCATCTCCAAAATAATCCCAATTTGCATTCACATTTCATTGCCTTCAACTGTCCCAAACATAAACAAACAAACAAACAGATGAAAACCAAATATACAACAAAAATGGTACATTAAAGAAACCATGATTTATTTCAACAAGTATCACCAAACCCCAGAAATCCATAAACAATTCAATGAACATCAAAAAGACTACATTTTTCAGAAACCCACTAACAGAAAGAAGAATCCCCCCAC